TTGCTGTGGCTGGAATGCCACTGCAGCACCGGTCCGTCTGGGGAAGGGTCGCCGCCCCAAGCTGGGCGTGGCGGCGTGGGTGGGGTGCAGGTGTAGGTGGTGCTGGAGCTGGGTCTCCTGGTGGTGGTGCGGACGAGGGGACCCTGTCAGGTGCAGCCGAGCAGCCGTCTCAGCAGCCGCCGGACTGGCGTCAGCCGCAGCAGTCGCAGCAGCCGCAGCAGTCGCAGCCGCAGCAGAGACGGCGAGTGGTCTCCCGCCCGGGTGGCCTGGCGCTGGTGGTAGCGCTGGACGTGGTGGTGGTGCGCGTGGTGGGCTGCCGGGTGGTGGTTCGGGTGACGTGCGCTGTCAGTACCTGCTCCAGACCGATCCTCGCCGTGGCTTCGTTTGCGGTAAGATCAGTCACACCTCCGTCCGCTGTTTCCGTCCCTGGACGACCTGTTTCGTCAGCGTTTCGGCCCGTCATCCCGAGCTCCCAGACAGGCACTGTTTGCTTCGTCGTAGGGTTCAGATTTTTATCTGGATATGGATGAGATTGTTACTGCTCTGCATGTGATGTATGCTGATGACTCTAGTGTGCGACCGTCGTATTACCTCTTGTTGCCTAGAGTAGGTGTGCCTTGCTTAGACTCCCCTGCTGGGTCAGGCGTAGGATCCCCTGCTTTGTTTAGCCTTGGTGCTTCCGTCGTTGCTTCGCCTTCCGGCCGCCACTGCCGCGCTCTCCTTCACCCTCGACTCTGGCGCTTCCCAGTGCTTCTTCCGCGACTCCACCACGTTGACACCGCTTCCTGTCCCTGCCGCAGTCTCTCTTGCTGACCCCTCCTCCGGCGCAGTAGTCGCCCGCAGTTCCACCACCCTCCCCTGCACGGCGGTTCCTTCAGGCTCGCTCACAGGACTGCACATCTCCTCGTTCTCCAGGAACCCTAGTTGGTGTCGGCTGCCTTCAGGACCTTGGCGTCACCACTACGTTCCTTTGACACGAGCGTACGCTGTCTGTACCGAGGCCGCCACTGGTGCCCCCCTGTCCACGTTCCCCACGGGACCCGGTGTCCGGTCTTTTCACACTGGACACGGTGACCCCCCGGCTGGACCCCCCTTTAGGTGACTGCGCCTCCCCCGGTTGCTGCTGCTAGCTCCTGTCGGTCTCTCACTCATCCGACACTTCTCTGACACCACCGCCTAGGTCACCCTGCACTCCCGCGTCTGCGTCACATGTCACAGCACGGTCTCATCCTAGGCCTCCACGGGTCGTTCCCCGAGTTTCCCTCCTCCCCAGCCCCACTTGCATCCCCTGTGTCGAGGGCCGGCTCCGCCATGCCCCTCACTCCTCCTCGTTTCCCCCTACTGCAGCACCGCTACAGACTCTGCACATGGACATCTGGGGCCCCGCCCCCGTCCATGGGCCGCGTCGAGAGCGCTACTTCCTAGTGCTTGTCGACGACTACACGCGCTACACCACTGTGTTTTCCATGGAGCGGAAGGCCGACGGGCCTGCCGTTCTTATCCCGTGGCTTGTCTCTGCGCGTGTCCACCGCGGTCTCCCTGTCTTGCGTCTCCACTCCGACCGTGGTGGCGAGTTTGCCTCTGGTGTCCTTGGTCGTTCTGTCGTGCGGAGGGCATCACCCAGATGTTCACCTTGCCGGACTCCCCACACCAGAATGGGGTCGCTGAGCGACGCATCGGTTTGGTCATGGAGGTGGCTCGCACCTCCATGATCCATGCCGGGACACCCCATTTTCTGTGGCCGATCGCCGTCGCTACGCCGCTCACCAGCTTAACCTGTGGCCGCACCCCCAGCAGCCTCAGGTTTCGCCAACCCTCCTTGGGTCTGGGTCACCTGGTGACGCGTCTGCGTTCCACGTATGGGGCTGCCTTGCTCACGTTCGTGCCTCTGGCACGACAAGCTCACTGTCCGCACCCTTCCCTGTGTCTTCTTCGGCTTCCCCTTGACGCGTCGACTGGCACTTCTACCACCCGCCGTCTCACCGATTCTTTCACTCCCGTGACGTCACCTTTGACGAGTCCGTCTCCTTCTTCGCTGCTTCCCCCACCGAGGTCCCCTGATTACCCCCCCCCTGTTCCTGATCATCCCTTCCCCGGTCGTTGCCGCCCCTCCTCCTCTCCCTCCCCGTCCTGCCCCCTCTGGTGTGTCCCACGTCACCCCACTTACGTCGGTTGTCCCGGTTGAGGAGTCTGCTGACTCTGGTGGTCCTGCAGCGCAGTCCTTGCCGCCTTCCGTTCTCAGGTGTCTCCTCCTCCACCGCTCCGCAGCCATCGTCGCCACCGATGTCGCAGCCGTCACAGCTGTCGTTGCAGCCACCGCCGCAGCAATTCGTTGCCTCTAGGGGTGCTGGAGTTGGGGTGGGTACTAGTCCTGGACTCCTGTCGTGGCTTGTCCCGGCGGGCCTGGGGGTGGTACCGGTGCTCGAGGGTTCTGAGCTCTGGGGTGTTCCTTCTGGGGGTGCTGGCTGGAGTGTTATGAAGGTAGCCACCAGGCAGCTTGCGGTCCTGGTGTCGTGTCACACCGCCGCCGCAGCAGTCCCCGCCGGTGTCCGCTCTTCCATCTGCTCGGCCTTCCGGCCTGTTGCCTCCTCCTCCTCCTGTCTACGGCCTTGTGTTCCCTCCTCCGGACTGTCTCCGGCCGTTTCCCCCCTCGTTCCCCTCTTGTGTCCCTCCTCTGTCCCCTGACCCGACTCCCCCGTCTCACGTCTGGTCTCGCCGTCCCTCCCGTGCTCGACCTGTCTCCCCTGTCTCGCGCTCTCACCCTATGCTGCTTCGTTCCCACGTGTCTCGTCCTCCCCTTCTCCCGTCGCCCCCTCCGTCCTCCCTTGTCGTTGCTCCCCCCCCTCTGTCTGACTACCTGCGTGCCGCTCGTCCTCTTGTTCCTCAGGTCCTTGCCTCTCTCGTTACCAACCCGTCTGTTCCGGTTTCGAGCCTTGACACCCTTGTCGCTGCGGTCGCTGACTTCACCTCTACCCGGACACCTTGACTACGCCACCGCTCTGGTCTCTGACCCCTGCCTGTCCTCCGTCTGTCGGGGGTGCTCCTGCCCTCGGCAGTGACGTCCTGGAGGACCGCCAGTACGAGCTTGCTTTCCTGTCCGAGGCTGCTCCCCATCTCTGCTCTATGCTTCTAGTCCTTGAGGGGACCCCGACGCTTTCGACATCCCGACCCCTCGCACTTACGCTGAGGCAGTCTCGAACCCTGGGCCACTCAGTGGATAGCTGCCATGGAGCACGAGATGGCATCTTGGAGATCCACCGGCACCTACGTCGACGCAGTTCCCCCACCTGGGGTGAACGTAGTCGATGGCCGCTGGCTCTTCAAGGTGAAGCGCCCTCCTGGAGAGCCGCCTGTGTTCAAGGCGCGCTACGTGGCTAGAGGTTTCAGTCAGCGTGAGGGGGTGGACTTCTTCCAGACCTTCGCTCCGACCCCGAAGATGACTACTCTTCGGGCTGCTACACGTAGCAGCTCAGCGTGACTACGAGCTTCACTCCCTCGACTTCTCCACTGCGTTTCTTCAGGGCAGTCTACACGAGCAGGTCTACCTGCGCCGCCCTCAGGGCTTCACTGGTACCTTCCCTCCTGGGACCCAGTGGCTCCTGCGGCGCCCCGTCTACGCCTGCGGCAGGCTCCCCGTGAGTGGCACGACACGCTGCGTGCTACGCTTGCTGACCTGCAGTTCTTTCCGTCCTCTGCAGACCCCTCGCTCTTCGTTCGTGCTGGCCAGACCCCGTTCTACATCCTTGTTTACGTAGTAGAGACCTGGTCTTCGCCACACAGACAGGGACGCACTGGCCTCCGTGAAGGCAGAGCTGCTGAAGAGACACACTGCACTGACCTTGGAGAACTGCGCCACTACCTTGGCTTGCAGATCTCCAGGGACAGAGCAGCGCGCACCATCACTTTGACTCAGTCACACTTGGTGCGCCAGGTCCTTCAGAGGTTCGGCCTTCATTCTCCTCCGCACAGCCCACTCCTCTGCCTCTAGACCACAGGCTCTCCGCTCCAGTTCCTGAGGAGTCAGCAGAGCCCAGTGGTCCTTACGCAGAGCTGGTGGGTTGCCTCATGTACCTGATGACTTGCACTCGCCCAGATCTCGCATACCCTCTCAGCATCCTGGCTCGCTTTGTGGCTACAGGCAGACACGACCTCAGCACTGGTCTGCCGCTAAGAGGGTTTTGCGTTATCTTGCAAGTACATCGGGCATGGGGTTAGTGCTAGGAGGACGCAGGCCAGTGGTCCTTACTGGACACACAGACGCTTCTTGGGCAGACGACGCCGAGACCCTCAGGTCCTCGCAGGGCTACTGCTTCAGCCTTGGTTCAGGTGCCGTCTCGTGGAGAGCTACCCGCTCCTCGTCTGTTGCCCAGTCCAGCTGTGAGGCCGAGATCTACGCCGGTGCCATGGCGGCACAGGAGCTCCGCTGGCTGACCTTCTTGCTCACTGACTTAGGTGAGCGGCCTAGCTCTGCCCCGGTCCTGTACGCTGACAACAGGGCCATGATCCTCCTGTGTCAGGAGCCTCGACTCGAGGGCAGAGCGAAGCACATCCAGCTGCGGTACTTCCTCCTGCGTGAGCTCCAGCAGCGCGCCAGGCGCGTAGTACACTTGGCCTCCGGTGCCAACACAGCTGATATCTTTACGAAGGCGCTTGCGCCTAAAGATCATCAGCGGCACTGTGTACAGCTAGGTCTCGTTCCTGTAGCCTCTCACTTGCTAGGGCCTTGACTTTGTACTGTCGTTTATATATATATTTTACCCTGACTGGCCTTGTGGCCTCTCCCAGTGGCTGGACTAGTAGTGCCGCCCTGGTCTTGCTCTTGTCTTGTCTGTACTCCTTTGACTGGTCTTTAGACCCTTGCTCAGAGGCTGGACTAGTAGTGCCGCCCTGAGCTGCTTCTTCCCTTGTTAGGCACTGCCCCTATAGTCTAGGGGGTGTGTCAAATGTAACTTAGGTCGTTACTGTAGACTATACTGGATTGTGCCTTAGAGGGTACAACACCCTAGTCTATATACCCTTGTACTCACACATTCTAGTTCAATTATTCTTTCTGATACCCTCGACCCAACAAAAAAGCAATCTGGCAGGTACTGCTGAGCCATGAGTATGAGCAACTACTGCGTTAGAGATACCATGGGTGAAATAATACCAAGACGAGAGGAGCAAACAAAGGAGAGTGCCAGACTGTGTGTGTGAGAAAACAGCAGCACGAGTGCTTGTGAGCACGGGATGAATGAATGCGAGAGACGGTGCAGGCAGATACACGCTGCTCTTTATTTCTCCGAGGCTATTGCTTGGGGATGGCCCCATGGGTTGCGAGCCACTGCAGCATGACGTCAGCAGCATCCTTCCATCCCAGGTCCAGCATGATGTCATGCGGCATGGATGGCAGCACCACCGGCAATGTGTTGAAGAACTCTGCAGTTTCCCTCACGCCCTGGTCGTCCTGGCAAAGAGAAAAAAGGGGAGGGGGTGGGGGGGTGTGGGTGAGATGAAGGGTTGGGGTATTGCTGCTGTCCCGCAGCAGCGCCTGGTAGCGCTTCACCTCGACCCCCTCCTCTGTGCCATGTCGCTTTCTCTCCCGTACCACATCCCCTCCTCTCCCATACCACTAGCACATGCCAGCACACAAGCCATCATCACCGCAAGAAACTCACCACGACAACATCATCCGCAGCACCCAGCACCATGACAGGCGGGCAAAACGCGGGCGGCTTGGCGACAGGCAGCGAGGCATTGAGGCTCCTCAGGTCAAAGAGGGGGATCTTGCTGCTGTCCCGCAGCAGCGCCTGATAGCGCTTCACCTCCGCTTCTGGCAGCTGCGGCGAGAAGAAGGAGTCGCGGCAGAGAGAGAGCGACGAGCCAAACATCTTGGCGGCCAGGCTGAGGGTGATCTTGACGGAGAGGATGGGGCGCGTGCGCATGTAGCGCTTCACCAGCTCCCTGGGAATTGGGGGTTGGGGGGGGAAGGGGAGGGGGAGAAGGGAGATTTGAGACGTCTCAAAGCTGTCTGTCAGCAGCGCCAGGCAGCGTTTCACCTCGTCCTCTGGCAGCTGCGGCGAGAAGGAGGGGTCACGGCAGAGAGAGAGCGACGAGCCAAACATCTTGGTGGCCAGGCTGAGGGTGATCTTGACGGAGAGGATGGGGCGCGTGCGCAGATAGCGCTTCACCAGCTCCCTGAGGGGAAGCGGCGGAGGGATGGGGGGATAATGGGATGGGGGGATGATGGGATGGGACAGCAAGGAAGGGGACCGTTAGGGGTCAACGTGGTATGGGAGAGCAAGGGATGGGGCAATAAGGGATGGGATATTGCAGGGTTGATGAGCAACGGGCTTTGGCTTTCGCCTGCATAACACCGCCAGCTACCTCAGAGCAATTTGCTTTGAGTCGTCTAAAAAACCGCCTGCATAAGCCCACCAGCTCCAATGGCCCCACCAGCTAGCTACCTCAGACGAATTACCATAGCGTGCCTGTATCCCTAGCATTCGCACACAGGTCTCCCGCAATCCCCTTTTGAGTCGACTCAAAAGGCACCAGCCCCACCAGTTGCCTCAGACGCATAACCATGGCGTGCCTGTATCCTTAGCATTTGCACACAGGTCTCCCGCAATCCTCACCTCTCACACCTCCCAGCTGCCCCGGCATTGTCACACTCACATGTTGCCAGTGGGCGGCACGGAGCAGGCCAGCACAGCCCCCGTTAGAGGGGCGAAGGGGGTTCCCTCTGAGAAACGAGACAGGGAACAGCAGAGGGGATGGAGGAAATGACTGACTCGTTACAACCACTACAGGGGCAAAGGGAAGCGCAGCACCCATTGAAGGGGCAAAGGGTGCACGGTTTGATGGTAAAGTAATACGAAGGAATCGGGCAGAGGAGAGGCAGGGGTGGCAAGGAGGGGAGGAGGATTTCAGAATGGCAGGAAGGAGGACGAGTTGAATGCTGGTGTCTCTAGAACCACTGCTATTGAAGCATTCACCATTACATGCACAATGCATGCATGGCTGTCAGTGAACCAGACACGCACCATCCTTGCTGCTCTCCCAGTCCTTCGCCACGTCGGCAAGATACGCCTGAACTATCAGCCCGCCGAACGAGTGTCCAACTAGGACCGGAGGCCGGCCAACGAGCTGACGGATAACGTTTGACACGTCAGCAGCGTGGGACTGCGCGTTGCAGGTCCATGTGGAGCACGAGAGGGAACAGAAGTAAAGAAACAGACAGCCGGAAAGGATAAAACGATATGACGTCACGCATTGGGACAAAACCCCACATGGACTCTACTTTCTTGCAAGTTCGCGAGGAATGAAAGGGAGAGGAGGTTCAAATGTAGCACGCTGCTGGAACTGCTGTCACCCAACATGCTGTGTATGACCTGTTGGAACTGTGCGCGCATGCGGCCATTCCAAGCAGACTGCGGATCACCTCGCGCGTGTATCACTTTCCTTAACGATTCGTCACCTGGATCCCAGTTCATCTCCCACCTGACTCCCATACGAGCGAGATCAAACAACAGCAAGATCGTCCCTCACCATTCTCACCTCCCAACAAAATCACCTCCTACCATTATCACCTCTCACCACTATCACTCCCCATCATCCTCACTTCCCAACTGATCACTTTCACCATTATCGCCTCCCACCTGAATGGTCCCGGCCACGGGAGCGTTCGGCACGTTGCTCCCACCCTGACCGAGGATGCTTATAGCGAAGCAGTCGAATCCCAGAGCCGACAAATACGGCATCCACTTATCATCCCAACACCACGCAGCATGATAACTCCCATGGATAAACACCAATGGCGGTAACTGCTGCTCCGCATTCGCCGACACAACTTTCGCATCTAAGTCTGC